TAAAACTGATGCAAGCTTTATAATTTGGCAAGACCACAAAGTCCTCAGGAACGCACCGCACGCAGTGCCCGAGAGTGTGGGCTGGGGCTGGAGGAGGAGACCTAGCTGGGTAGGAGAGAGAGTCATGCAAGGAAGCCAAAGAGAAACAAGGAAAGAGGAAGGTCAGGCCTAAACTGGGGATCCTCGCGCACCTTCTCAGATACTGCTACCAAATGAGGATGTTTAAAAAAAAAAAAAAAAAACCCACCATGTCCTGCTGTTCAAAGTAATGTGCAAGGAGGGGCAAGAGTGAGGCCCAACAAATACGTACTTATACCACCCGTGAGACTGACAAAATCAGACCGATACGCAAGTGTCGCCACAAAATCCAAGGAGTCTAAATATTCTAAAATAATGTGAGGAGGGCAGAAAACACGTCCCAAGATCCTTTCTCATAAAGACATAAAAAGGAGAAACCAAGCATCAAACTAAGGTAACCGATACTAAACGAACCTGAGTGTCCCCTTACCCACAGCTGGCTTCGTGTGCCTGCGGTTTCCCCCGGTCAGCACAGTCTGGAGGCAGATGATCCTCCTCCCGGGTCCGGTGTCAGAAGGTCACCAGTAGCCTAATGCTGTGTCACTGCGCCTACGTCACTCCCCTCCCTTCAGCTCATCATACATTTTATTCTCTCCCACCATCATCATCCTCAGAGTGAGTGCAGGACAGGAAGGTATTTGAGACCACACATAACTTCCATTACAGTGTAACTGTGGCTCAGTGTTCTACTTTATCATTAGTTATTCTTCTCTACTGTGCCCGATTCATAAATTAAACTAGGTACGGATATATAGAAAAAAACATGGTGTATAGAGGGCTCAGTCCTATCTGCACTCGTAGGCATCCACTGGGGTCTCAGAACATCTCCCCTGGTAAAGGTGGAGGGGTGGGGAGTACTCTGCAGAAACACATTCCGGACTGATAAAAATCAACAATGACGATGGCCTCTCAGACATCTGAGAACATACGTAAACTAAAGAATATTCATTTTTTTTTTTCCAGAGAGAGAATGTGAACACACATGCAAGGTTGGAGAGAGGGCAGAGGGAGACGCAGAGAGAATCTTAAGCAGGCTCCATGTCCAGTGTGAAGCCTGATGTGGGGCTCAATCTCACGACCCTGAGATCATGACCTGAGCTGAAATCAAGAGTCGGACACTTAACCGACTGAGCCACCCAGGTGTCCCCTGAATTAACATTTTTAACAAAGTCCTCACTATAACCAACTAATCTATAACCTACCAATTATAAAAGTTAATTGTCTCCAGGCTAGCCTAAAGCATTACTTTAAAATGACCATAAAGATGAGGGAAAATAACGAACTGATCATGCTCTCAGCTGATACTATAAATTTCCTAAGACTGGGTCAGAAGAGAACATTTTAAGACTAAGTCATTCACTTTAAATTTGTAGGACTAGAATAGGTGACTACGTTAACCTTACTCTACATGTTCATTATTTTTATTTTTTTGAAGATTTTATTTATTTATTATTTGACAGAGAGAAAGTGAGCACAAGTAGGGGAGCAGCAGACTCCCTGCTGAGAGGGAGCCCAATGTGGGGCTTGATCCTGGGACTCCGGGATCACGACCAGAGCTGAAGGCAGACGCTTAAACCAACTGAGCCACCTAGGCGCCCCTGTACATTCATTATTTTTAAGGCTAAACAGAAGACATGGTTTTTTAAAAATCAGAACCTCAGCTTTCCACTGGCATTAAGTGGGCAGCATTTTAAACATACCGTGAGTGGGCATCATCCCAGACCAATGACGTAAGAGCCACGGGGCCCCGGCCTCAGGCTTTTTGAAAGCCGGATGATGTTATGTGTGGGAAGAAGTGAGGAACCTATGTCTGGTGAACAAGCTCATACAAAAGTATGTATTGTTATGATTTATAAAATTTTCTGTTAAATTATTAGGTCTTTCCGAGAAAAGAGAAAAGCCTGTCTGAATTTCAGATTATCATTACTCAGAAAAACACACTAAGGAAATCACACGTGATTTTTTCTTTAGAATAGCTACATGAAAACATTTTGAAGAAAATAGATGGGCTGCTGAGTCACGGGCCAGCTGCTCTGCAGAGTCGGTCATGGACTCTGCATGGGAAGTGTTTTATGTAAAGCCACAGAGATGTTAGGGTTATGTTTTTTGCAGTTATCCGGACTACCACAGAAAGAAATGACTCGTTATAATAAGACCTAGAAATACGTTCTTTTCAGGGCACCTGGGTGGCTGTCGGTTAAGTGTCTGACTCTTGATGTCAGCTCAGGTCATGATCTCCGGGTCAAGAGATGGAGTCCTGCGTCCGGCTCCATGACCCGCATGGAACCTGATGAAGATTCTCTTTCCCTCTCCTTCTGCCCTTCCCTGCCCTGCTTGTGCTCTCTATCTAAAGAAAAGAAAAAGAAAAAAAGAAATACATCTTTTCTAAGTAGAGGCAGGGAAGTGCTATGAGTGTATAAGGGCTTCAAAAATCACAATATCCTGGGCCTGGATCTCATTCCTGCTACTTACTCATTTCACAACCTTAGTCCAGGCACTTCTCCGGAGCTCAGTTTCTCACATGTAAAATGAGGATCCCTATTATTTCCCAGGCTTGCCCTGAGAATCAAGTAGCACAGTGCCTCAAATGGTACCCAGCATATAGGAAGCAATTTTATAAACAGTACATATTATTATTAGGCCAAAATGATAAAAACCCAAGAGTTACAAAATGACTTAACATTGCAGTCTCCTTTAGAAAGGACAAAATTATACTTTTAATCATACAAAGTTATGTATAGTTTCATGTTATTTTATATGCTCAAAAATCAGTATCTGAGTGCATTCAACAAGCACCTGTTGTACCCCTCCTATGTGCCTGCACCATTCCCGACACAGGAGACTCAGTAACGAACAAGTCATACAGGCGTCCTTGCTCTCATGGGGTTCCTCAGCCAGGGAGTTAGCAGCAGTGGGGCTCAGAGGTGGTAGGATTCTTGATCTATTTTGAAGTTTAGAACAAAATGATTTGGGTATCGGGTACGGAATCAAGGAGGTTTTTAATATCTGGGACCTGCCAAATCAAAGGAGGAGTTCGCCATGAATGGACGTGGGAAAACGAGAACGGGTGTGGGGAAGGTCAGGAGTTCGCCTTGTCCAGGACGGGTCTGCCACGTCTATCAGTGATGCCACACTGGCCGCTGGATATAGAACTCGGGTGTGCAGGGGCAGAGGGCCTGGGAAGAGGCAGAAACTAAGGTAAAGCTAAGATTTATCTACAAAAATCTTTGGACTTAAAAAAGATTTAATTCTCTTTAATGTACACAGTGGAAGTGGATGAGGTCAGTGAGTTAGAGGTCTCTAGCAACCTCTACTTTTCCATCTCCTTTTTTTATACAAGGCATTCTACCTTGACTAAAGGTCTGTGATTTATGGAAGTTATTTGCATTCGGAAGTCTGCTCTTCTGAAAGAGGCTGTTAATATTTTATTGGGTAAGTGTTCGCACCAAGCAGCAGAATGATCACAAATGTTTTGAAAACAGAAATAAGGCCTCCTTACTCTGGAGGCCAGAGCTGGGAGCAGGCTGGCGCTTCCACCTGCCGTCAGGAAGCCTGAGCACAGGTGAATCCGTACTGACCGCAACGGAGAGCAAAGCAAGGCGAGGCACTCAAGGGACCTGGCGGGTTCCTTCTGCTACGGAAGAAACAGCAATGCTGTTTCTGTTAGCGCCTGAAATGCAACTTTACTTCGTCCAGGATTTACACAAAGAATTGTTTAAATATGTCCATGAAAGAAAAGTTTATATATTAAAATCTTAACACGATGGCTAAAAAATCCACAGGCTTTAGATTTCTAAGAGAAGAAAATACATCACTAAATGCCAGACTTAGAAAAGATGAAAACAAAGCAACAAAAACCAAAAAAAAAATCTAGAAAAAAATCCAGATAATTGAAATGTGTATTTTTTTCACTGCTTTTAAAGAAATGGCTGAGATCTAATATGGCTATCAACATTTGGAAAATTAAAAAAAAAATCCAATTTAAAATTATCTTCTTTGTAGTGGCTATGAATTTATAGCTTGTAGAATTAAAATTAATGAAGAAAAAGAAATATGCAAACCCAAAATAGATGGACATGAAATATGTCTGTATCTTTATTCATGGTAGTAGGACCTCAATATTTGATTCCCCTGTTTCACTTAATATGCTCCCTCACATCATTTTGGTGTAATTTCCTCATAACATTATCTAGAAGTTCTAATTTATTAAGTTACACTTCAGAAACCTTTCTCAGTGGAAGGAATAACAGAAGAAATTTAAGGACTCGCCCCCCCCCCCCAAACACTTGTAGGTTCACTGGTCAGACTGTCATCAGCAGTTGTTGTTTTCTTTTTCCTTTTATTTAAAAAAAAAAAAAAAAGTATATGTATTTTAAAAACTTCTGAATTTTTTTTCAAAGTTACCGATTTCGTGACTCTTGATTTCAAGCAAGTCACAAGCACTCGAATAAAAAGACAGTCTCAACGATCACTTGCAAAGCACAATCTAGTTAAAAATATTTCAGACCACATTCTTTCATTGGGGACATAAAAGAATAAAAGAGATCTTCCAACACAGATAAAAATGCAAAGATAAATTATAACTGTGGATTAAAACATAGTATTAAAGGAAAAGAAAGCCTTTTTTGTGAGCACCCAAATAATTCCTCCTCTGTATACAACGACACAAAAGCATTTTCAGCTTTCAGGTTTCGACAAATCCTGTTGTAACAACATCTCCCTCCCTTCCCCGCCTCTCCTTTCTTAATTCTCCCACAGCTCAAAAAATGAGATGGAGAACCTGGTATTTATCTTCCAGCACCATCAGCGGTTTCTACCTCAGATTTCCATGTTGCTCTTTATCTGCAAGTTAACTTGTTGGAGCTTCGTCACTAATACTCGGAAGCTGGGAGATGAGCCTCATGTGTGTGGCTTCTCCTCCTCAGACACTTTCACTGGAAGACACTGACAGAGGGGAGTTAAGACACTGACGGCTCCTGACAAAAGGTACGGAAAATGAGAAGCCTCAGGGATGCTCAGAAACATAGAGACCTTTAAGTATCGTGTAGCTTGGATTTTAAGTTGTAAATCTGTATTTTAAATGTTCGTTTTGTTATGAATAAATCTTGTCTGGAAAACGGACTTGACATCTTAATGAAATCCACTCCAGATTTTCTGCTGGCAAATAGCTGATAAAAATTAACATTTGTGGGTTCTGTATGCAGAACGTTCTAGAACCACACGAGCCTTCTCTATTTAGTACTAAGTTTGTACCTGCGACCCCACTGCTCCTGTTTACTTTCACAGCATTTCACCACCACCGCCACCAGTGAAACAAAGTGTGCTTTTATTCTGTACCAGACAGAAATCTGAGAGAACAGGCCACAAACTGTATCATACTTGTGGCTGGAGAAGGGAAAAAAAAAAAGAAAGAAAAGAAAAAAGACTTCATAGCAATATGGCTAACATGCCAGTACATTTTTACAAAGGAACAGAATAGTGACCTTCATTGTAGAGAACAAATTCTTTCTGCGTAAGTTCTCTGCAGAAGAAAGCATTTAAAATCCAATATTCAACAGCAAGCGAGCACTCCGCTAGCTGAATGCAATGTCATATTGTTTACACTGACTGTGGCTCTCTGTAATTTATCACTGCCAGTACTTGTTAATTAAGATGAACAAGCTGTCTGCAAGCCTGAATTACACTGAAATTTATGAAATGTATTGGTTAATGGGAAGAAAAAGGTTATAATTGGGAAGCTGAGCACAAACGGATCAACACATAAAGGTTACTCAACCAAAGTAAAAATAGAGAAATGAGATGCTCTTAGAGAATGGGAACAGCAATCTCGACACCGAGGAAACCCTAAGGTGAAAATGGTCTGGGAAGGCGGTGATTTAACGAACTGGCTGGAGTGTGAGACGTTAAAACCCAAACCTGAAAACAGCTATTATAAAACTACAAACGTGTTTCATTTTCTTCTAGAATCTTTAACTTCTGTTCTATCTTGGTCTCAGATACGAAAAGAAATTTGGAAAACAGAAAGAAATGAACCGTATGGTTCCACACAAAGCCTAATTACTCTGATGTGTGTTTAAGTCTGATATTTAATTTGAAATTTCAGGAAAACACTTCCCTAAAATTGTCACATTTAAGACTGCGAACAAAAATAGAACAAAGGAATTTCGACAGCCCAGGATTTAACTTCTTAGAGAAGCAGCGTTCTAACTCTGGGAAGTATGTACTCTTGATACCGGAGCGGATTAGTATTACTTCAGGTATTACACAGAAGCCCAGCATCAGCCTCCTTGGGCGAGTGTGAGGCTGAGCCATGCGTCCCATTACTGCCCTCTCAAGTGCTTTTCTTTCTAGATGGGACAGGGAATGAATGCAGTTGACAGTCAATGGTGCTTTCTGCCATTTTTCTCTGCTCCCGGGGAGCACACGGAGAGGCTCTCACCAGGGTATACCGGGGTAACGGTGGGGGAGAGATGGGGAGAGGCAGGAAAAGCAGGATACTGCTGCTGAGACCTCTGTGACACAGGGTGATTTACTGCCTCAGTGTCCTTCCTAATCGGAAAAAAGATGATGCAAAAAGTTCTATCTGCAGTTTATTTCAGCTCTAAGATTCTATGTAGATCAGCTCAATGAAGGAAGAGAAAAATTTCAAATGCCGTTAACTATCAATTGTCACATGACATAAAACAAATAAACATACTAATAACAGAGTCAATTTTAATTTGTGGAATACTTCTATGTGTCAGATATTGTTCTAGGCCCTTAAAATGCATTTAACTTTTGATATATATACAATAATCCTCCCCCTTTTCCAGAAGAGGATACTGAGGCACAGAGAGGTTCTGGAAAGCTAAGAGTTGACCCAAGTGTTTTGGATTCAGAGTCCATACTGCCTTTTGTGAAATATACATGAATTGTGGTAGAACCACAATGTCTTAATACATCATTCAAAAATTAATGCAGAAACACAAAAAAGCTGTTATTACTGTATTTCAGAAACCAATGTATTATTCCAAGGCAGGAAGCGCTTGCCAGATTAAAGCATAGCCAAGTCACAAATTCAGTGCTATCTTTTCTCTCCTTGAAAAGAAAGGAAAAAAGGAAGAAAAAAAAAGAAAAAAAAAGTTAAATTATTTTTGGTATCCTTTCACATACAACTAATGATGTGGTTATTTCTGGCCTGTAATTTCAAGATTCAGTGTCACTACTTCAGAGTCTGTCAGGATAACCGGTTTCGCAGCAGACGATTTCATTTGGGTCAGGGAATGAGTCCGGTCCCAATTAGACAGGATCTCACATTCTCATGAGCAGGAGACAGAGGCTTAACTGTTCCAGTTTTGAGTATCCTGTACCTGATGTGAAACGAGTGTTAACCTAGATAAGGATTTTGCAAAAATTTATTAACTGGAAATCAGGGATAATCATGCCTATGGCTTTACCTTCTCTCTGCGAATTTCCTTTCCTCCTTAAACAGTTCACTTGGGTCATATATCTGGCACATGGTGGGTGCTTAATTTTTTTTTTTTTTTAATAAAACCATCTTTTTGAATACTTGAAACTTTTCCACTATGTATTTAGAAATCATTTTTAAGAACTGGGCTTAAACACTGTTTCTAATTAAAATACTCCATAGGTAATAAGGAAGAGATAGTTTTAAAAACCTCTAATGCTATTAAAATTCTTACTAGATCCTCCAGCTGGAATCTGATATGTCAGAATTTCCTAAGGCACACTGCCCACGTTATAGACAACTTCAGCAAAGTTTAAGTTTTAAAAAGAACAAGTGGATAGCTCTTTCCTTTATGCCATGTATCAAGCACCGCCCATCCTCCGGCACTCAGGACAATGGTGGCCTCTGAGGGCCTAGTGTGAGCTTTTCTCCTGGGCTACCATGTCCTCATCTACTGTGGGGTCTACTCAAATGTGTTCTTTGCTCCCCCTGGACGTGGAAACGGAAGCCCTTTGTTTATGCTTTCTTTCAATCCTGATTTTGTCTTCTTTTCCTAGCCTTTGTCACTTGGCTCTCTGGCGCAGAGAGAAAGCTACAATCCTGATCAAAGATAAAGGTGACGTCATGGTGTCAGCTGGGCTCCAGCTGCTCGCTTTCGTCCTGGCCTTATCCGGAGTGTCTGGAGTACTCACAGCCACTCTGCTGCCTAACTGGAAGGTGAACGTGGACTCGGGCTCCAACATCATAACGGCCATTGTGCAGCTGCAAGGGCTGTGGATGGACTGCACATGGTACAGCACCGGGATGTTCAGCTGCACCCTGAAGTACTCCATTCTGTCCCTCCCCGTCCACGTGCAGGCCGCACGGGCCACCATGGTCCTGGCATGTGTTCTATCTGCTTTGGGAATCTGCGCTGCTACAGTAGGGATGAAATGCACTCGCTTAGGAGGGGACAGAGAAACAAAGAGTCACGCTTCTTTTGCTGGCGGAGTCTGTTTCATGTCTGCCGGGGTCTCTGGTTTGATACCAACAGTGTGGTACACAAAGGAGATTGTAGCCAACTTTCTGGATCTGACAGTTCCAGAAAGCAACAAACATGAACCTGGAGGAGCCGTCTATATTGGATTCATTTCGGCCATACTACTCTTGATCTCTGGCATGATTTTCTGCACTTCCTGCATTGAAAAGAATCCAGAAGCTTGGCTCTATCCACCCAAGCAGCAGCACATCTCCACCACACAACCAGAGGGCAATTCAGCATACAACCTGAAAGATTATGTGTAAATAGCTGAATGAGCATGGACTTTTAGATGCCTGCTGTGACTTCTGTCTTTTTGCTTTAGAGAAAAAAATCTAAATGAGGTCACTTAAAATGCCGACAAACTACTATGTACAATTGTTTATCTGTTTTAAGATTATTTTTCCATTACTATTTTCATGTTTTATCGAGAGGTGTATAATTGAGAGAGGTTCTGTTATATTAAGGCCATTAACTGATGGCTTTTTTCCCCCCTTTTAAGATAAACTGTTGATGTATCTTCTGGGTTGTTACTGATTGGATCTTATAAAAGAACTAAACTGCCAAATATACAAAAAAGCACCTTTCTCTGGTGTTGATCTAGGGTACCATCGGCTTTTGGTGTCTGTCTACAACACCACAGTGACTTGCTTCTGTTTTCAAGCCCCACTGTTTGAACCTAAGGGAAAGAGGAGATGTCCGCCTGTCTTCAATGCTGCCCAAACCAGCCTCCCTGACTTCCCACCTACTATGACCCTCCTGCTTCTTTTTTCATTTTAGAAACATCATGTACATGTGTGAGAGCCAACAATAGGACATTCAGAGTTGGTAAATGCTGCCATAGCAAAGCAAAACCAAACCAAACTAAACGCACACTGAAATCTCTGGGACTTGAAAGCCTTAGGTACAAAGTAAGTGAGAATGACAATAGTTTGACTGAGAATGTGCAACAGCTGCCACTTCCGCTGCTAGCAAGAGGATGTTCCAGACAAAGTCCATTTATCCTACAACAATTCAGATCCCTCCAATCCCCTCTCATTGGTTACTATTTGGATGATAGAAGTTACTTTTAAGTTGTCATTTTTGTTCTTAAGTTTGATTCATGTTAGCAGAACCTTGCTGTTCTCTAATAAATGAATTGTTTCAGTTAGTTAATAGAAAAACAAAGTATAAAGAATGTTTTTTAAAAATATAAGTTAAATTAAGAGATGTAATTCATATAACAAGAAAATAAAAACTGGATTTTCTAATGTGCAACGGGGACAATGCACACTGTTTCTAGTAATTCAGATAGTTTACACTTAGTCATTGTTCACCATATAATGGTAAAGAGAAAAAAAGGACTATTTCTTTGTACTTTAGTAACTCAGGAAGTGGCAAGAATATCTTTTATGTGAGTACATATTTTTCATTTGTGCCTATAGAAGTAGAGACTAAAGTATTTTATACCTAGTTAACGCATTTCTCTTCTGCAACAATGTCATTAGCTATTAACAGAATAGCTAAAGTGAAAAGGTACTATTTCATTTGGGAATTAGGAAAAGACTTATTTAAACAAGTTGAAATGATTGTTTAAAGTATGGATTCCTGGGACACGTGGGTGGCTCAGCCAGTTAATCAGCTCCCATTGGCTCAGGTCATGTTCCCAGGGTTCTGGGTCTGAGTCCCACATCGGGCTCCTTGCTCAGCGGGGAGACTGCTTCTCCCTCTGCCTGCTGCTCCTCTTGCTTGTGCTTTCTCGCTCTGCCGAATAAATAAAATCTTTAAAAAAAATTGATTCCCTTAGGAATAAAAATGTTTTCTAAACAAATGTCATACTAAAAATACCTGATAAAAAGAATAGTTTTATACAAATTAATGTGACAGGATTGCTAGGACACCTATATGGCTTTCTCATTTGGCTTAATGTGACTGGCTTCATTCGCAGTTTACGTATCCTATAGTCCTATACTAAAAGTTTAGTGAATATATCCTATGAAATATATACTTCAAAAAATAATTTTTACTTAGCTCTGGAATATTTTCTTAAAGAGATGCAAGAATGTCTTGAACTCCAGAAAAGCACCCATTTCATACATGTAACGGCCTAATTCTCTCCAGACCGGACATATCAATAACGTGTCTTGGAATCCCTCCATCCCTACGGGATACCCCCTGCTGCGCTGCTCCACACAGAATCCTCCCACACTCACCCCGTGCCTGCCTAAGCTCCGACATCCTTCAGGGTCAGTGGGGTCTCCTTTGTGAACACAATCCGGACTCCTGAAAAAGTTTGCTGTTTCCATCTCTGTACTCTCACAGAATGCTCTATCACAAATTACTAGTTTACACGATTGCACTTCCAACTAGACTGGGAGACAAGTGTTTTTTGTTTTTTTTTTTAACCATTGTATTCTCAGTAACTTGCAAAAGTGCTTACAGGGCAGGCCAGTCCTATTTCAGTCCTTCATGTACGTACACTGACTGGTTTAAACCCCACAAAGACTCCAGGTGGCAGGTACTATTCTTAGTACCTAGGGGGAACTGACGTAGAGAAAAATATCACTGCCTAACTTGCCCAAGGTCTTCAGCTAATAAGCGGAGCATGGCGTTCAACCTGAGGGAATGCGGCTCTGGAGTCAGAGCAGGTGAGTACAACGTCACACAGGGCACAAGTCTATACAGTACATATTACTGAATCGAAGTCTTGGGTTTGCCCATGTGAAAATGAGGATAAAATAGCACCTACTCACAGAGGGGCTGTGAGGATTCAATGAGACGATACGCACACAGCATGCGTGGGGGGATAAGCATGCAATGGACACTGCCCAGTGGTTCCTGGTCTAACCCAGTGGTTTCCAACTGGGGGTGGGTCGAGCCTGCAGAGGACATGTGGCAGCACCTGGAGACATTTCTGGTTGTCACAACTGGGGTAATGGTACTGGAATATAGTGGGCGGGGGGCAGAAAAGCTATTAAATATCCTATAGTGCACAAGACAGCCCAGGCAACAAAGAATTTTCTGGCCGAAAATGTCAATAGTGATAAGGTTGAGAAGCTCTGGTCTAACGTATTTGAATATACTTAAACATTCATTTTTTCTTTTTTTTTTTTAAATAAGAAGTTACCAAAACAAAACCAAAAGAAGAAAACACCAGAAAGCCCCAGAATATCATGCTTGTTTTACCTAGGACCAGACATTTGTGCATATTAAGTGTGTGTGTGTGTGTGTGTGTGTGTGTGTGTGTGTGTCTATGACTGAAGAATCAGCTAACAGTTCCGGCAAAAATGTAGACACAGGTTAAGTCAGGAGAACTGGGTATAGGAATGGATAGATTTAAGAGAAACATAAGTGATATCAGAAGGTGGTAACTAGTGATTCACTGTGCAAGTAACGGTGAAAGGGGTACCCTGAGATACCCCCCCACCCCCTCTGGAATACCTGCCTGATGTGGGCAGGTGAGGTCATTAGTAGACTACACGCATACATACAGGCAGGAGCAGCCTGGGGTACGTAGACAGAGGTTCAATTCTGGAGTTAGTGTTTTCTCATTACATTCCTTTTATTACCATATTTTTAGCTACATGGCTTTACCATAAATTAACTTTATTGACTTTTGAGGATTTCTATCCTAGCCTACAATCTTGCAGAACCTGTTGTATATCTCTTCATCACCTCCAATGACTTTTTTATTCACTTCACTGCACTTGGTACATACATAAAGTATCACCTGCAAAAATGCAACTTTGTTCCTTTCTTCCTTGGATTTAGAGTATTTCTTGTTTATTCCTGAGTAGTTATTAAAATATAACTAGTATTAAGGTAAATTGTAATAGTAAATATTCTGTTTCTATTCAACACTTGCTTGGTTTTTAAAAAAGACTGGTAATTTTCTACTTATAAAACTGGTTTTAGTTTACACATTTTTATTTTAGACTTGCCCACTTTCAAAAAGAATTTGAGGTTACTTACAATAAAATTTCTGGCTTAGTAAAGTACAAAGAACATGATAAAGGTGAAAGACTAAGGTTACAAAGAAAAGAAAGAAAAAATGCTATTAAATAATCCTTGCTAAAGGCTACCAAAAGATTTGAACATGAAACAGTCTAGAACTTCTAAGCAACCAAAGCACAAAAAGCCACACAAAAAATCTGACGGCTCCATCTATGGGTGGGGGCCCACCAAGGCCACTCTGGGCTTTCCCCAAGCTCCCACTGGGCTGCGCAACCATCCCCAGCTGCTGTGAGTGCATGGTGCTAATGGTGCCTCCCTTGGTAGGTTAGGGAACCAGTGCTTCTAGGAGGTGGCCAGAGCCAAAGACTGGCACAGAGGTATACAACAGGCTGCTTCCTTGACTGACTCTGTGGGACAATTTGTGCCCCAGAGCTCCCCTTCTCCCTGCCACCCTATAACCCGGTGGAATCAGGTTGAAGGAAATCTCCAGGCAGAACAATATTCCTGGCTTAGCTTTTTCCCCTTTGCTTTATCCTGCTCCCCACACCACTCTTCTGAGAGCACTCAATACACCACCTTCACAAAAATTCTTACCACAATCTCTGAATCCACAACACCAGACCTAACACGGAAGAATATTATTTAAGCAGAAGAACGTTAAGTCTTCTGACCTTTTGTCCAAAGGATTCTCAACCACAGGATAACATACAACAGAAATATCCTCAATATCAGATTCTGAAAAACACAAAGGCATGGCTTTCTTACGTGAATCCACCCATTTTACTAAGCTCGAGATTATTTCACAGAGAAGTCAAGGCCTTGAGGGCTGTCAGCAAGGATAGCTGAAAGCTTCTGAAATGTGATCCTCAAAGGTCAGGCGTGGATGCCTCAAGTCCTGACCTTTTCTTTATAATGTCATGGGTCTATCATCATTAATTCATCTAAAATCGTACTGACAGTGTGTTTAAATCTGTACCACGTTTAGGGATAACTTGATCCATATGCAGTACTCCTAATACGCAAAATTAGATATAAACTATATGAAGTTCTTAAAAATTAAAATCTATACAACTATATCAAAATATACCAACGTAGTCCATAAATGTTTGCTTATAATCATAATAGCTACTTTCCACTAACTACCTCCCAATGCTAGATACTCCCATTACTTCACATTGATTATCTCTATTTGTCAAAACAATCCTTCAAGGGTGACAATACTGCCCCAATTCAGGTATTAAAGTTCAGCCTATTAACCTAACCAAGTTCTCATAATTAGGAACATTCGAATTCCAGTAGGTCTAGCTTCCTTTAAAGTACTGCCAGTTCTTCCACTAGAGTGTACCGCTCCTATCATGCTAACCGAAAGAGCCTGTTGCAATTCTCCTTTTATAGTGACTTACCTAGTGGGTCCAACTACAGTATAGTGATGAGACCTAAAGCCTATCCATTCTGTTGGAAGTATTTCCTACAGAAATAAAAATTAAAAAGA